AGGGGTGAGGCACAGGTTCTAGAGTTAAACTACTGGGGTTCCAACTCAGGTTCCACTGCTCCCTGCCTGGGGAGGTGGTCTTGGTTCTCAGGTAGAGGACAGAGGAACCGCACAAAGCAGGTGACTTTTGAAAGGAAGGGGCAGTGAAGTCCCTCGGGTGAGCGGTCCTTGCCACTCAACCTGGGTGAACACCATTACATGGGCCCAGCAAAGAATTTTTTTAAAAACATAAACCTTTTTTAATTTACAGAATATTTTTTCAAAGACAAGGTCTCGCTCTGTTGCCCAGGCTGGAGTGCAATTGTAGTTCAGTGTAGCTTCTAACTCCTATGCTCAACGGATCCTCCTTCTTCAACCTTCCAAGTAGCTGGGACTACAGGCGCACACTGTCACAACCAGCTAATTTACTTTTTCTTGTTTTTAAGTCAAAGTTACATCCACACCTGAATTTAAAAATCAAATAGTTCTGTATGATAGTGTAAACAATAGCAGGCCTGGCCAGATGCAGTGGCTCAAGCTTATAATCTCAGTACTTTGGGAGACCGAGGCAAGAGGATTACCTGAGCTTAGGAGTTCAAGACCATCCTGGAGAACTGGTGAGACCTTGTCTCTACAGTATATCAATAAAATTAGCCGGGCGTGGTAGTGCGCGCCTGTAGTTCCAGCTACTTGGAAGGCTGAGGCAGAAGGATCGCCTGAGCCCAGCAGGTCGATGCTGGGGTGGCCATGAGCGTGCCACTGCACTCCAGCCTGGGCGATGGAGTGAGACTCTAACTCAAAACAAAAAAACAAAACAACAACAGCAAAAAACCAATAGCAGGCCTGTTCCCTTTTCCCTGTTTTCTGCCCCCCAGACAGCCGGAAAAAAAGATATATAGATATATATGCAGAGTATTCTAAATAGCACGTGCACATTGCTGCTGCTTCCTTTGGGGTCATATCTGTTGACTTCCCACCAAAGAAGACTTAGCTCCTTGTCACCCTCTCCCCGCTTCACACACCTGCCCTCTCTCTGACCCTTGTCCTCTCAGTACCCTTAAGTCGTGATTTAGTGAAATTAATATTCACTTTTTACTTGCTACTATGACTTTGGAAATGCTGTTCACCACTGAACTATGTAGAATGCTATGCCAACTTTTACTTTCTCGTACAACTTTTCCCTGCATGGGCTTCCCAACAACTGCTGTAAGCCCCAGGGGTGGAGTGGGGTGGGAGAGGTGTGTTCCTGAGTGAGAGAGAGAGAGAGGCAGAGAGACAGACAGAGACAGAGACAGGGACAAAGAGACAGGGGGAGATGAAGAGGGAGAGAGAGATAAAGAGACAGAGAGAGACAGAACAAAAGAGACAGAGACACAGAAAGACAAAGAAAGAGAAAGGGGGGTGGTCCAAGCCCTCCCAGGATTGGGAAAGGCCATTCTTTTGGGGACAAATGGCTCACAGGCTACTGCTTAGCCTTCATTTGACAGGGAGGGGGCTGTGAGGCCTTGGGTTATATCTGTTTCGGGGACCCCTGCGAGCAGTCTGGTTTCCTCTGTGTCCCCCCACCCTCAGCTCTGGCTTCTACATCCTCAGGTGCGTCTCACTTTGTGTCCTCCCTGGGCTTTCTCACATATCCCTCGTTTTGGTGACTCCCAGGCGGGACCACAGAGGGTACCCAGGTTCCAAACTGTACAGGTTGGCATGAAAGTGACTGTGACCCCACTTCTCACTTCCTTGGCTCCTCCATCAGGATCTGGCAGTCCGGGATGACAGCGGGGTTCAGTTGTGGGTGCCTTTCTGGAAGATGTCTGAGGGAGAAGGCTGCCAGGAGAGTTTGTGGGACACGGCCAGGCGAAGAGCCCAGTTCTGGCGTGTGCCTGCTGGGGAGGTCTGGGCTGTGGGTTCGTGGCGCTGTGCACAGCAGAGCCAGGGGACTCTACAACTCGTGGCCACAGGAGCAGACATCACTGACCAGGCCCCTGTGGGTGGCCTGCTGAGCCCAGGTGGTCTGAAGGGCCATGGGCAGGACCTGAAGCTACAGACAGGCCCTTGAGAGACAGAACTTACATCCATGGGTGGCTTTATTCATAGCTGTGACAACTGGAAACAACCCAGATGCCCTTCAACTGATGGATGAACTAGCAGTGGTCAGTCTATGCAGTGGAATACTACTCAGCAAGAAAAAGGAACGGACTACAGACAGCTCCAACTTATGATGACTCCATTTAATGATTTTTTGACTTTACGATAGTGTGATACTGTCGTGATTTAGATGTAATGTACAGTATTCAATAAATTACGTGAGATATTCAGTACTCTATTATAAAATAGGCTTTGTGTTAGATGATTTTGCTCAACCGTGGGCTAATGTAAGTGTTCTGAGCACCTTTTTTTTTGAGTCAGAGTCTCACTCTGTCACCTGCCCAGGCTGGAGTGTAGTGGCATGATCATGGCTTACCTCAGCCTTGGTCTTCTGGGCTCAGGAGATCCTTCTGCCTCAGTCTCCCAAGTAGCTGGGACTACAGGTGCACACCACCATGCCTGGCTAATTGTTTATATTTCTTTGTTTAGGCGAGGTCTTGCTAAGTTGCCTAGGCTGATCTCAATCTCCTGGGCTGAAGCAATCCTCCTGCCTCAGCCTCCCAAAGTGCTGGGATTACCACTGTGCCTGGCCTGTGAGGACATTTAAGGTAAGCCAGGCTAATCTAGGATGTTTGGTAGGTTAGCTGTATTAAGTGCATTTTTAAATGTTCGATATTTTCAACTTGTAGTGGGTTTATTGGGATATAACCCCATCATAAGTCAAGGAGCATCTGTGCTAACATTTGCAACAACAAGGCTGAATTCCAAATGCGTGTGTTAAGTGCAAAAAAACCAGACCAATAGGCTACACAGTACGATTGCATTTATCTGACATTCTGGAAAAGGCAAAAGTGCTAGACAGAAAACAAATGAGTGGTTACCTGGGGCTAGGGCTGGAAGGAGGTGCTGACTACAATGTTGCAGGAGGAAATTTATTTGGGTGGATGGAAATGTTTTGTATCTTGCTACTGTAGTGATTGCACGGCTCTACGAATTTGTCAGAACTCTTAGGACTGTACACCAAAAAGTACATTTTACTGTATGTAAATTGTATCTGAAGAAACCTGGAAAAAAAAACCTAACTAATGACAGCTAAAAGTGATAACTATGTTAGCATTTGGAATGACACTGTAATAGCAGGGAAATAGCAGGGAGGAGGAAGAGGAGGAGGAGGAGGGGGAAGAGGAAAAGGAGGTGGCGGCCGGGGCTGAAATTCAGGGTGACTCCACACAAGGGGTGGAGTTCAACAACCATGTTCTCTGTATAAGGCCCTACTTGCCTGCTGGGAACCTCTGAGGGCAAGGACCAGCACTTCTGGAACATTCTGTGGGAACACCATGGATGCCACAAAGGAGAAGATCCCAAATCATACCTGCTTTCCCCTAACGCCATCACTGTGAAGTCATTTCCCTGGACCAGAGGGAAAACAGTGAGGGACAAGGTGGGGGAATGAAACTGGACAGAGACGGAATCTCAGAAGGCTCTGTCACTGGCCACCTCAGCCTCATCTGCAGAGTCCAGTGAGGACTGGAAGAGATGAGTGTGTGAGAGCGCTGAGCCCATGTGGGTGTTGACTTTCAGAGGTGGCCACCAACAGGCAGGGTTTAAATTCCTGTCACATTTCTTCCAAGCTGTGTGACCTTGGACAAGTGTCTTAAACTTTCTGGGCCTCAATTCCTCACTGATGAACTAAGGCTTTATGGTTCTCTAAGATTGTTGTGAGGGCCGGGTATGGTAGCTCACAACAAACTCACAGGAGTTTGAGACCAGCTTGGGTAATATAGTGAGACTCTGTCTCTACAAAAACTAGAAAAAAAAAAAAAATTAGCTGGGTGTGGTGGCACCTGTCTGTTCCAGCTACTTGGGAGGCTGAGGTGGGAGGATGGCTTGAGCTTGGCAGTAGTGAGCTATGATTGTGCTACTGCACTCCAGCCTGGCTGAGCAATAGAGTGAGAACCTGTCTCAAAAAAAAAAAAAAAAAAATGACTATTGTGAGGTTTCAATAAATATAGCCTGGGCTTAGCATATCCTAAGCTCCCAAGAAGAGCTACCTCATTATTATCTAGGGTTGCTGAATGTAGCCAAAATAATGAATACTTTTTAGCATAAGTATGTCCCATGCAATATTTGGGATATACTTATACTAAAAAAAAATTATTCCTGACACAATCATACTAAAAAGAATATTTGTTGTTTGTCTGGGATTTAAAGTTAGCTGGATGCTCAGTATTTTACCTGGCAACCCCAGTAATAGGGGAAGGGGATTTGGGGTAATATGAAAAGAGGTTTAAGTCTGGAGGTGAATGATCTGTGAGAAAAAAAAAATATATATGCACATATATACGAATATATGTGTATATATATATTCTTTTGTAGAGATAAGGTCTCGCTTGTTTCCGAGGCTGGTCTCAAATTCCTGGCCTCAGCCTCCTGAAATGTTGGAATTATCCTCCCACCTCAGCCTCCCGAAATGTTGGAATTATAGGCATGAGTCACTGCACTGGGCCCATCTACTGCCTTCTTACTTCCCTGGCAGCCTGAGTCATTCATGGACTTTACCTGGAAACTCACCTCCTATAGGAAGCCCCCTTGATGGGTGAACACACACTGCCTGCTCAATCCTTGGTCCTGCTTTTGTTCAGGCCCAAGGCTGCCAGCTGGTGTCATCGTAACTCACTCCTGGACTGAGGCTGCTGCTTGGAGGCTCTGAAGTCATTTCTTGTGGGAGCCCTGCCCCTGAGCGGCCAGCCACCAGGGCACGGGATCCCGTGAAGGCTGTGGGTGCGGTGTGCACGGTGGTTCCTCTGTGCCTGTGGCTGATGGCTGAGTGGCAGAGCTGCTCTTACATAATCAGTTTCTCTCCTCCTTTCTCTTCCTAGAGCCAGATTTCACACTGAGCAGCTGCAGTCGGAGAAATCAGAGAAAGCGCCACCCAGCCCCAGATTCCAAGGGGCCTGCTGGGGACTCTCTTCTCTTCCTCCTCCTCAGGAAGGAAGACCCCGGGGCTGCTGTCTCAGACCAGCTCCTGGGCTGCCATGGGACGAGCAGCCACCGCCCCCAGGCTGTCCTCCACGCTGCCGGGCAGATAAGGGTGGCTGCTGTTCCAGGGCCACCTGCCCTCTCCTGCCGTCCGGCTGCTCCTCCCCAACTTGGTGGCCACCTTTGCTGACCTGAGGCCATGTAGGCCCTGCTTGGGCCTCTGTGGACACACCGCTGGGGACAGTGCCTCTGCTCTCCGGGAAACGCAGTGCACCACCATCCAGTGCACCACCATGCCCCGGGGCTTCGCCTGGCTGCGCTGTGAGTACTCAGGGTGCGGGGGTCCCTGGGGACTTGCCCCAGGAAGTCTTGGCCCAGAGCCAGTTACTGCTGTAGCCATAGCAACCAGGGCATTCCTGCTGGTGAGAAGTTGAGATGCTTCCCAGCTCGACAGTAGGCGTCCTGGAGACCCCCATGGCCACCTTCTACCCCGTCTGCACTGACCGGGCTCTGACGGGCAAACTGGGGTGTGAGCCTCAGGCTGGGTGGGCACAGTCTCAGGGTGGTCGGAGGGTGGAGCAGGCACTGCGGGCAGGTGGCAGCATCTCACCTTTCCAGACTCGTGGGTGCTGAGGAGCAGTGGGGGCAGCGGTGGCCTCCCTGGGTGTGGCTGGTGGGGGTGAAAGTGCTGGGGACCCAAGACCCATGGGAGAAGTCTAGCCAGGCACCCAGGGAAGACAGCCTGCTCTCCCTGCACCACTTTCTCCATCACAGAACAAAATAAAAAACGCAAAAAGATAATAGTGTTGTCGGTAAAAAGAAAAATAAGTTCAAACGAGGACAGGGGAAAAAAAAAGGATCTGGAAGCCTCTCGTGCCTTGTGGGTGGGAGGCCAGACCAAGATCCCTTCAGTCTCCAAGATTCAATTTAATTGACTCAAATTCAACACATTTTTCTGGTGCCTCCCACGTGCCCACTGGAGAGTCACTGCCATGACAACAGGACCTTGTCTGTCTCATACCTTTGTCCTCAATGCCTGGCTTGGAGTTGAGTGCTCAGGAGCCGCTGGACGTCATGGCTTTGAGCCTGTGAGGGATTCAGAGAGGAGCTGGGTCCACCCTGGCCCTTGTAAAGGGATGTGACAAAGGGTACAAAGGGTCAGGACCTTTAAGATAGGCGGGAGGACCCAGTCAAACCCAGTGTTCTGGACGCTTCTAGGTCATGAGGAGCAGGGGAAGCAGTGTGGGTGAGGTCTCCTGGAAAGGGTCTGGAGGTGGGGTGGTTCCCACAAATGGGACTGGGGGAGTTGGGACCGAGTTCTAGGCAGAGCAAGGGCTTGGCAGTGGGAGGGAGGGTGAGGGGCCAGGATGGAAAGCTGATCCCGGTGACTGAGGCCTTGAATGCCAGGAAACAGTGCCTACCTCATCCATCACAGGAAGCCTTGGAGGACCTGAGAGCTAAGGGTAGGAGTCCTGATTGGGAGTCACTCTGATTTTGAAGATCAGTCTGGCAGTGCTTGTAGGAATCGCTGTTGCCACCATCAGGGCAGGAGGTGATAAGGGTCCGTTCTTGAGTGGAGGTGAAAATGAAAAGGCAAGGGATGGGGGAGAAAGCTTCCAGAAGCAGAGCTTAGCACCTGGCAAGGACTGGTTGGGGGGTGAGGGCAGGGCAGGGCTGTGTGGCAGGGTGGGGTCTCCTGACCGAGCAGGTGAGGTGCTGGGGAATGTTGGCTGCTGTGATGAATCAGCACACATTAGGTGGCTTAGAATGAAAGAAATGTATTCTTGTACAGTTCTGGAGACCAGAAGCATGAAATCATGGTGGCGGCAGGGCCGTGCTCCCTCTGTAGGCTCTGGGCTCCTTCCTGGCCTCTTCCAGCTTCTGGTAGCTTCTGGCATTCCTTGGCTTGTGGCTGTCTCACTCCGATCTGCCTGTCTTCTCATGACCTGTCTTCTGTGTGTCCCTGTGTCCCTTCCTCTTCTTACAAGGACACTAGTCATTGGATTTAGGGACCTCCCTAAATCCAGGATGGTTTCATCTTGAGATCCTTTACTTAATAGTATCTGCAAGGACCCTGTTTCCCAATAAGGTCCCATCCTGAGGTTCTAGGTGAATGAGAATTTGGGGGGCATGTATTTAGCCCACTGTACAGACTAAGATTTGTTCCCTGTGGGTAGGTGACAAGCCTCATTTGTCACTGCACAAAGGGTCATCTCAGGGAGGAGGGCAGGCTCCCCACCACCACCTTGGGCCAGGGAGCCAGGAAAGGAGCACTTCACTCACGCTGTTCTTCCTCTAGCCGCCTCTTCCAGCTTGTGGATTCTTACCTCTGGAGGGAGAGAGGCCGGGCGCGCCTCCTGACCAGGATCAGGGTCTGCCCTGCCTATGAGGATCCTGGGGGTGCAGAGCGTCGGGGAGAGTGGCCTCCATGTCCATTCATCATCCCGTTTCTTTGGGTGGAGGCAGCTGAAAGGAAGCTTAACATTAGAAATGTCGGCCAGGCTGCTGACTTAGAGAAAGGCTTCCAAGAGGCAGCTCACCTGTGGACAGGGTTTGTGGGGCAGCCTGTGTGCCCACCTGTACCAGGCTGAGATACGCGGTATCTCTTCAAGGCACGTTCCCTGCCTTGAGGCCACAGCTCCCGGGCCCCGAACCCCGGAACGGGACACAGAGAAGGGCAGCTGGTGTAGGATCATGGGGGTGGAGTAGTGGCTGGTGGTGACAGTCACATGGGAAAGAAGACCCAGTGTGGACCGAGACACTGATTTTTTTTTTAGTATTATTTAATAAATTTATTTAATAAATTAAATGGGCACATTGAATGTGAAATAATTGTTAGCAGTGGAGCAGAACACATCGCATAGGAATTTTGTACTCTAATATTTTGAAACCTTTTATCAAAATAATAAAATGTTAATATTTATTTACTTATTTATATCCTGATTAGTCTCTTTTGATTTAACCATAACCAGGAGGTGGAGACACTGATTTTTAAGGAAGTGATGAACATTTTTATTTTTACACGAAATCCTTGTGGACCAGAGGTGGCCCTTGGGACACCAGCTTGCAACAGTTTCGCCAGGCCCCTGGTTCTCAAAGTGTGGTCCCAGGCCAGCTGCAAGAGCTCCCCCTGGGAACCTGTTAGAAAAGCAGATTCTCTGGCCCAGCCCCAGACCTCCTGAATCAGAGACTCCAGGGTGGGGCCCAGTGACAGGTGCCTCAACCAGTTCCCAGGGGTTTCTGATGTCTGCTTCCATTCCCACTGCGCCAGATGCACGTGTGGAGTGCTCGGTGCACTGGGCCATGCTGTGGTTGACTGTGTTATGGATTTACATACCAAGGTCAAGGTAATGGGTGAATTGGGCAGGGGTGCTAGAGACAGAGATCAGTGAGGGTTGGTGAAGGCAAAGGAGACCCTGGGGAGCAGCAGGGGAGAGAATCTTGGTGAGACTTTGAGAAAGGTCTGCTGTGCGAGAGGGTACCCAGGGTCGGGCAAAGACAAGTCCAAACCCGGGGGCAGGAAGCATCCTGACCTGCAAGGTCAGGTGCCGAGCTGAGAGAGTTTGAGACTTTGAGATGAGACAGAAAGCAAGCGGATGTGGAAGGGGCAGATGCGAGGGTTGTTTGTGGTCTTCTGTTCATTGGGATTGATCCTGTGGCAAGCGTGGGGGCGAGGAAGTATAGAACAGCTTGCAAACTTGCAACCTTGTAAAAAAGGTGGCTGTCAGTCGGGCTTGGTGGCTCAGCCTGTATCCCGCGCCTTTGGGAGGCTGAGGTGAGTGGATTGCCTGAGCCTGCGGGTTGAGACCCGCTGGGCAACTTGGCGAGACCTTCATCTCTACAATACATCAAAATCAGCCGGGCGTGGTAGCACACGCCTGTAATTCCGGCTACTCGGAAGGCTGAGGCGGAAGGATCGCCGGAGCCCAGTGGGTCGAGGCTGCGGTGGCTGGGAACGGCCACTGCACTCCAGTCTGGGCGACGGAGTGAAACTCCAACTCAAAAAAAAATGTGGCTGTCAGAGTTCTGAGGAGGGGAAGGGCTTGCTGGCCATAGTGCACGTGGGGCACTGGCCTGAGAGGACTTGAGGGTAGAGCTGAGTGAGGGGAGGGGGCCCGCAGGAGCAAAAGCTTGGCAGCAGGACTAAGCAGGGTGGATCTGGAGAGGGAGATGGGGAAATCATGGTAAACAGGTTGTGTGGCACAGCGCAGTGGGGCTATAAGTACAAAAGTCTTTCTAGGTGCTGGGAAATGGGTGGAGAAAGTCCAGTCAATGATTCCTACCGAGAACCAGGGGTGGCTCAGAGGGCAGGTGACTCAACCTTCCTGGTTATTTTTGCCAAGAAGAAGAAAAAAAAAAAAAGCCTGATCATTGCTTTTGACTATAGCAATAATAGATATGGATTATAGAACATGAAAGAATGGGCTGGGTGCAGTAGCTCATTCCTGTAATCCCAACACTTTGGGAGGCCAAGGTGAGAGTATTGCTTGGGTCCAGGAGTTCAAGAGCAACCTAGACAACATAGTGAGACCTTGTCTCTACAAAAAGAAAAAAATTAGCCAGGCATAGGGGCGTGTGCCTGTAGTCCCAGCAACTGAGGTAGAAGGATCACTTGAGTCCAGGAGGTTGAGGCTGCAGTGAGCCAAGGTTGTGCAACTGCATTCCAGCCTGGGTGACAGGGTGAGACCCCAACTCTTTAAAAAAACGTTTTAGTGTCTTTGTCCACAGTTTGGGGGTTGTCTCTCTCTTTTGTTTTCCTTCCAATTTATTCCTAGAAGTGAGTTTAGCGAGTCAAAGGGTGTAGACATTTTAAAGGCTTAGTGAGTTGAAGGATGTGAACATTATTAAATCCATTAATAACAAAAATTGCCAAATTGCTTTCCAGAATGAGAGCATCTGCCTTGCTCTGCCTTGCTCCTTTGCCAGCATCAAGTACTATTAAAACAAAACACGCTGAGTACAGTGGCGTGTGCCTGTAATCCTAGCTACTTGGGAGGCTGAGACAGGAGGAGTTCTTGAGTCCAAGAGTTCAAGACCAGCTGGGCAACATAGTGAAACCCAGTCTTTTTTTTTTTTAAAGCCACAGACACACATACACAAACATTTTTACTTGAATAGATGGAAAATGGCATCTGATTGTTTTAATGTGAACTTCTTTACCTTATTAATGAGGTTGGTATTTTGGATACACTTCTGGCCCATTTATGTTTTGTTCTTTTTGCTCTGATGGACTTTTTTTTTTTTTTTGAAGTCACAGTGACCCCCAGTGGTAAAGACTGGTAATGTTTCAGAAGGCTGCGGCTCATTGGTTGCAGGAAGCAAAACAGCCAATGTAAGGTCCGCTTAGCATCCCAGAATGACCAGACTGGCAGGTGCTACATACCTGCTGCCGCATGTAACTGAGATAGATGCTAAGAAAGTGGTGTGGGTGACCAAGAGTCATTTGCAGTGTTGTTATCAGAGTCCGCCTCTCCTGAATCCCTTGATGGAAAAATCTAGCAGCAGGCTTTGGAAACATGTCACCCCCTGGAAGGGAGGTTGTGCCTGCCCCATGGGGCCAGAGCAGGGAGGATACCAGGAAAATCATTCGGATTCCAGGTGGGAAGGCCTCAGGCCTCTGCGCACCCACCACGATCCCTCCCATGAGTGTTTAGAACTCATGCAAATGGAGGACAGTTGTGCTCAGCTTTGCGAAGTGGGGGCAGCATGGAGGAGGTGCACGGTGCTCATGTGCTCTTGTCGGGTGTGGTTCACAGATCTTGGGATCCTCCTTGGCATGGCCTTGGGGAACGAGGGTTTGGAGGTGTGGCCCTTGACCCAGAGTGAGGAGTGCACCGTCACAGGCTTTCTGCGGGAGAAGCTGCAGTACAAGCACCGCCTTCAGTACATGGTAACCATGTGGGCACCAGCTGTGTCCCTGTCCCCACGGTCCCTAGCTTGCCTGGACATTCAGGACAGCTGGCTCTGGACATTCAGGGCCTCTCCTAGGAACTGTGTCAGCCCTGAGCTTACCATGGCCTCTTTCTCTGCCTTTGTCCAACAAGCAACCCATGTGCCTGGTCTGTACTTACTGACCTCTCTCCCCTGCCATCTCCTGAGGCTTCCACCCCTCCTCCTTGTTCTGACCTTTGACCCCACCTCCACGTGGCACTTGCCCTGTGACTCAGGAATAGATTTCAGGAGCCCTTTGGGAAACCCCAGGCACTTATTAGCAGGAGAGATAAAGACCTAGAAATTGGAATCTTTGGTTGTTTTTGTGGAGTGGAGACACCCACATAGCTTGTGGTATCTTTTTTTTTTTAAAAATAGCTTTATTGAGACCTAATTTATATGCCATACAATTCACCCCATTTACAGTTTATGCTGTACACAAAGTGTACAATTTGGCTGGACGAGGTGGCTCACAACTGTAATCCCAGCACTTTGCGAGGCCAGGGCAGTAGGATCGCTTGAGGACAGTAGTTTGAGAGCAGACTGGGCAGCATAGTGAGACCTCATTTTTACAAAAAATTTTAAAAAATAGCTGGACATGGTGATGCATGCCTTTAGTCCCAGCTACTTGGGAGGCTGAGGTGAGAGGATCACTTGAACCCAGGAGGTCAAGGCTGCAGTGAGCTATGATTGTACCACTGTACTCCAGCCTGGGCAACAGAGCGAGATGCTGACTCTAAGAATAAATAAATACTCTTTTAAAAAGTGTGCAACTCCATGGATTTTAATATGTTCCCAGAGTTGTGCAGCCATCACCATTGTAGATCTTAGAATATGTTCCTCAGCCCCCAAATAGTATATCTTCCCTAAAGTAGTATGTCTGAGCCAGGCATGGTGGCTCACGCCTGTAATCTCAGCATTTTGGGAGGCAGAGGTAAGAGAATTTCCTGTGTCTATGGGTTCGAGACCAGCCTGGGCATTATGGCAAGACCTTGTCTCTACAATAATTCAAAAAATTATCCAGGTCTGGTGGCACATGCCTGTAGTTCCAGCTACTTGGAAGGCTGAAGCAGAAGGATCGCCGGAGCCCAGCAGGTTGAGGCTGCGGTGGCCATGAGCGTGCCACTGCACTCCAACCTGGGTGACAGAGTGAGATTCCAACTCGAAAAATAAAAAATAAAAAAATAAAGTAGTACATCCTTACCCCTGGGCCTGAAACTTCTGCCCTAACAGAGCCTATGTATTTTGTTTTACCCTCTCTTGTGGTCCTGAGGAAAGCGAGCTTTTTTTTATCCCAGCTGGGGGCCAGGCCTAACTCTCCATAGACACTACCTCTGCCATCAAAGGGCTGGGCCGAGGGTCTTCTCCTCCTACATCAAAATTCATCTGGGAGGTTGGGGGAGCCCGCCTAAGTCATTTCCGCCTCCGACCTCATGGTTTGTTCTTGTACCTCCCCAGAAACACTACTTTCCCATCAACTACAAGATCAGCGTGCCTTACGAGGGGGTGTTCAGAATCGCCAACATCACCAGACTGGTGAGAATCCCCTCCTGGGCTGGGGGAAGCCCTGCCTCCCTCAACATCCCACAGACTCCGGCCTCAGAGGCTCACTGGGCTTGGCAGGTTGGGCTGTGGCTCGGGCCCTTTCCCCAGCCCTTGGAACAAGCCTGTCCGCGGCCCAGGCCCACGTTTGCCTGCGGTCCGTGGCAGATACCCCATGGTCTGTTCCCTGTGCAGGGGCAAATCCTAGGGTGGGGGCATCAGAGTTGAGAGGCTGGTGTCTGGGGGGTTCCAATGATGTCTCTGTCTCTGCAGCAGAGGGCCCGGGTGAGTGAGCAGGAGCTGCGGTACCTGTGGGTCTTGGTGAGTCTCAGCGCCACCGAGTCAGTGCAGGACGTGCTGCTCGAGGGCCACCCATCCTGGAAGTATCTGCAGGAAGTGCAGACACTGCTCCTGCATGTCCAGCAGCGCCTCACGGTGAGCTGGGCAGAGGCACGGCAGGTGGGGCACGCGTGCGCGTGCATGTGTGTATGCGTGCATGAGACTGCATCTGAGAGGTGTGGCCAAGGACTGTCCAGGGATGAGGTGAGCTCATGGAAAGTTCTAGCATGTCCTGAGGGGAGTGGGAGACATGGGAGAAGGGTACAGGAGAAGAGCCTCAGGAAGGAAGAGGCAGCTGGGATGATCAGGTGGGCTGGGCTTGAGGGGAGGTCATGCCCTGAGATCCTGTTCCAGGCTCTGCCTCTCTCATTAGGGTCCTGGGCAAGTCATCAAACTCTCTGACTTTGTTTCTGCATCACAAAGTTCCTTGGTGGGGGAGAGGAGACGGGAAGAAGAGATGGAGCACAGGACACGTTTAGGGTGGTGAAACCATTCTGTGTCTTATGTTAATGGTGGATACACAACAGTATGCTTTCATCAGAACCCATGAAACTGAACACAGAGCATGAACTCTAATGTAAACCACAGACTTTAGTTCATTAAAAAGTAAACAGACTGGGTGCAGTGGCTCACACCTATAATCCCAGCACTTTGGGAGGCCAAGGTGAGAGGATTGCCTGAACCCACGGGTTAGAGACCAGCCCAGGCAACTTGGTGAGACCTCATCTCTACAATAAATCAAAAAATTAGCTGGGCATATCTGTAGGTTCAGCTACTTGGAAGGCTGAGGTGGAAGGATCACCTGAGCCCATCAGGTCAAGGCTACGGTGGCCGTGAGCAGCGTGCCACTGCACTGCAGCCTGGGTGACAGAGTAAGACTCCAACTCAAAAAAAAAAAACTAAAAATAAAAAAATAGTAAAGAGATCCCTACCCTCACCCCATTCAGAGGAATTGATCTGAGGCCTCCTGTTAAAATGGTCTGGGCACAGTAGCTCACACCTCTAATCCTAGCACTTTGGAGGCTAAGGCAAGAGGATTGCTTGAGCTCAGGAGTTTGAGACCAACTTAGGCGACATAGCAAGACCTCACCTCAACATAGCCAGGTGTGGTGGCACACACCTGTAGTCCCAGCTACTTGGGAGGCTGAGGTAGGAGGATTGCCTGAGCCCAGAAGTTTGAGGTTGCAGTAAGCTGTGATCAAGCCGCTGTACTCCAGCCTGGGCAACAGAGTAAGACCCTGACTCAAAAATTTTTTTTAAAAGCCTTAGTTGTACTAAAAAGTGAGGTGACAGGGTTATCGTGTGCTCATGCAGGCTGTGCATGTGGTGTGGCCGTGGGAGCCCTCTCGCCCCTCACCAGCCCTCCTCAAGACCCTGGTGTACACCTGCCCAAGGGATCTGCCTGCTGCCCTGCCCAGCCAGCTGCCCCGCTCATCTGCTGATAAGGCCCAGCCCAGGCCAACTGTAAGCTTCCCTTGTTGAAAGGGCTTAGGGAAAAGCACCTGTTTTTGCAGCTGCCTGGAGCTTTCCCAGGACAGACAGTGGGAAGACTCTCTCATTCCTGTAAAGGACCGGAGACCCAGCGAATGCCTTGGTGGGTCTTGTGTGCCCGTGGGCAAGATGGGTAATGGAGTTATCACCCATCACTTGGGGAAGGGTCACTTTTCCAACTCTGAAAGGCTCCTGGGAGCTGGGCTAGGGGCTGGGGTTGAGGACTTGAGACCTCAGCCCTACCCACCTGGGTCTGGACTCTCTTGTTTAAATTATTGCACATATGGATAAGTTTTATTATTCAGCTTCAACCAGCCTTTAAATCTTTTTTCTTTAACAATGTCAGAAGTCTATAACCCAACTCTTAAGATGGATTTAATTTATGAACAAAAAGCCCCTTCAGACTTTGTTTTTCTTTTAAGTCTTCCAATAGTAGTGTAATGCAGGAGATCCGGGCTGGGAGTGGGCACCAGGATTCTGGCTGCCCCTCTGCTTCCAGTGGGATGACCTTGGTGGCTCACGCCTATAATTCCAGCACTCGGGAAGCTGAGGCAGGTGGACTGCTTAAGCCTAGGAGTTTGAGACCAGCCAGAGCAACACAGTGAGAGCTCTTCTCTAAAAAACAAACACAAAATTAGCTGGGCATGCTTGGTTATCCCAGCTACTCAGAAAGCTGAGGCGGGAGGATCGCCTGAGCCCAGAAGGTTGAGGCTTTGCTGAGCTGTGATCGTACTGCTGCACTCCAACCTAGGTGACAGAATGAGATCCCCTCTGCTATGATGATGTCATTCTACCTCCTCATCTGCTTGTCCAAGGCAATGCTGCCTGCATTCTGGGTCCGGCATTGTTCTCGTTACCATATTTTCCCTCTTGCTTTCATTAAGCTCCTTTAAAAACAAAAAAAATGTAAAAGCAAAGTCCTAGATGAAGATGTGGGACTGTGCTGGGGGAAGCATATTTGAAAACATAAAATTGGCCATTTGTTCCGTTGTAAGTGTACAATTCAGTGGCCTTAATCACATTCACAATGTCAGGGCTCCATCACTACTGTCCATTTCCAGAAACCTTTTCATCACCCCAAACAGAGTCTCTGCCCATTTAGCAGAGACTCCCACCTCTCTGTACTCACTGGTTACCCTATACTCTTCTGTCACTATAGATGTGACTGTTCTAGGTACTACTTACGAGTGGAATGCTACATATTTATCCTTTTGTGTCTGGCTTCTTTCCCACAGCATCATGTTTTCAAGGTTCCTCCATGTTGTAGCTTGTCAGAACTTCCATTCCTTTTTATGAATGAATAATATTCCATCTTGTATCTATGCCACATTTTGTTTATCCATTTGTCATGAATTGTTTCTACCTTTTGGCTACTGTGAATAACGCTGCAATGAACATTGGTGTACAAGAATCTGAGTCTCTGTTTTCAATTCTTCGAGGTATATGCCTAGAAGAGGAAATTGCTGGGTCACACGATAACTCTGTTTTAGCATCTTGAGGAATCATCTTCCCAAAGCCTTTTTGGAAGAGGGTCTTCTGTCCTGTTTTCCTTGACTTTGTGTGTCTCTGGATGGCACAGTGGCCCCACAGGGCTATGACATCTCATCAGGGCAAGGGGACACATCTATTGAGCAGCCGTTCTTCCAAGTGGTGGGCTGTGGAGATGAACCTCTTTACTCTCCTGCTGTCTTTACTCCACCTTTGCGGATACGTTTTCTAGGGCTGCTGTGACAAATGACCACAAACTTGGTGGCTTAAAACAGAAATGTATTTCCTCACAGTCCCAGAGTCCTGAAGTCTGAAATCAAGGTGTCAGCAGGGCCACGCTCCATTTGAAGGCTCTAGGGGAGGATCCCTCTCTGCCTCTTCCAGCTTCTGGTAGCTCTGGGTGCTCCTTGGCATGCGGCTGTATCACTCCAACCTCTGTCTCAGTCCTCACATGACTTTCTGCTTGTGTCTCTGTGACCTTTCTCTCTCTCTCTCTCTCTTTTTTTTTGAGTTGGAGTCTCACTCTGTCACCTAGACTGGAGTGCAGTGGCCATTCCCGGCCACTGTATCCTCGACTTGCTGGGCTCCGGTGATCCTTCCACCTCAGTCTTCCAAGTAACTGGAACTACAGGCGTGTGCTACCACGACTGGCTAATTTTTGATTTATTGTAGAGATGAGGTCTTGCCAAGTTACCCAGGCAGGTCTCAAACCCACGGGCTCAGGCAATCCACTCACCTCAGCCTCCCAAAGCGTGGGATTATAGGCTGAGCCCCCGAACCCGGCTCTTTTTTTTTTTTGAGTCGGAGTCTCCCTCTGTCACCCAGGCTGGAGTGCAGTGGCATGATCATGACTCACCACAGCCTTGACCTCCTGGGGTCAGGCGATCCTTCTGCCTCAGCCTCCTCAGGAGTGGGGACTACAGGCATATGCCCTACGTGCCTGTACCTTTTGGGTTTTTTTTGTTGTTTTTTTTTTTGAGTTGGAGTCTTACTCTGTCGCACAGACTGGAGTGCAGTGGCACGCTCCCAGCCACCGCAGCCTCAACCTGCTGGGCTCCGGTGATCCTTCCACCTCAGCCTTCCAAATAGCCGGAACTACAGGCGCACGCTACCAGCCTGGCTAGTTTTTTGATTTATTGTAGAGATGAGGTCTCGCCAAGTTGCCTGGGCGGGTCTCAAACCCGCAGGCTCAGGCAATCCACTCTCTTCGGCCTCCCAAAGTGCTGGGATTACAGGCTGAGCTACCTAGCCGTCTTCTCTGTTTTTTTTTTTGAGTTGGAGTCTCACTCTATCTCCCAGGCTGGAGTACAATGGCATGCTCACGGCCACAGCAGCCTCTACCTGCTGGGCTTAGGCGATCCTTCCTTCTCAGCCTTCCGAGTAGCCGGAATTACAGGCATGTGCTACCATGCCTGGCTGATTTTTTTGGTTTATTGTAGAGATGAGGTCTCACCCAGGCTGGTCTCAAATCCAAAGGCTCAGGTAATCCTCTCACCTCAGCCTCCTAGAGTGCTGGGATTATAGGCTTGAGCCACTGCGCCTGGCCTCTCATGATGTCTTCTACAGGAGCCCTAGCCCCCTGCTTAGGGACTTCTTTCTCTCAGCACCTGTGGTGTTCCCCACATGCTCCTTTATGTTAAGTATTGTAAAAAGAAGCCACTTGGGCTTGGAACTGGACATCCGCCCTGCCTGTATGACTTGAGCCTCAGTGGCCCTCATGAAGGTTTTTCTTGTTCCTTGGAGTTGATGGAGGTCTTTGTTTCCTAAAGAATAGTTCCCTGGGTCAGGGGCTCCTTGAGTGGATGGCCCTGACTGGGTTAGAGCATCAAGGATAGCCTACCTTCTCCCTATCCTGGCCTGCATCCTGTGGTCGTTTCTCCAAGGATAGAAAAGCAGAAGCCTTGCCTGAGCCCGCGGTTTTAAGACCTGCCTGGGCAGCGAGACCTCATCTCTACAATAAATCAAAAAATCAGCCGGGCGTGGTAGTGCGCGTCTGTAATTCCGGCTACTCGGAAGGCTGAGGCGGAAGGATCGCCGGAGCCCAGCAGGTCGAGGCTGCGGTGGCCGGGAGCGGCCACTGCACTCCAGTCTGGGCAACAGAGTGAGACTCCAACTCAAAAAAAAAGAAGGAAAGAAAAGCAGAAGCCTCCATGTTGTGCTTGGGTGAGGTAACATCTGGGACCCTCCCTGCTTCCATAGGAAGAAAGTGAGAAATAGCTCCCAGGCTCCTGGTCACAGGAAGTCTCGTCCTTTTTCTGTGATCTGGGGCAGCTCCATGCTCTCCTGTGGTGTGACCCTGTCACGTTACTGGTCCTGACAGTGTCCTCCCTTCCAGGATGTGGAGGTCAGCCCCAAGGTAGAAGAGGTGTTGTCTCTCCTGAATGCCCCAGGGATGAGCCTGAAGTTGGTGCGACCCAAAGCCCTGCTGGACAACTGCTTCCGGGTCATGGAGCTGCTGTACTGCTCTTGCTGTAAGAGGCTCTGAGTGGATGGGACTGGAGGGCAGGAGGCTGGGCATTTGGGTCCAGGTCCGTGGGTAGAATTGGCGCCCTCCTGGGCATGTCTTCTACTCCTGGGGATACAGGCCATTTTTTGGAAGCTGAGATGGACCCTGGGTACTTGTAGCTTAGTCTAGGGGGAAAGACGGTTTTGATCATTCCTGCGGTCTTTTTTTCTTTTCTTATTCCTTGCAGGTAAACAAAGCTCCGTCCTAAACTGGCAGGACTGTGAAGTGCCAAATCCTCAACCCCACAGCACAGAGCCCTCGTGTGTGGCCGCCCAGCTGTACCCTCCATCCCAGGAGCCCCCCAGCTTCCTGCCCCGCTCTCCGGGCCCAGCGAGGCTGGTCAGGGCACAGGGCCAAGGCCTCTTGCCCTGAGCAGCCTGTCTGGTGACCCTGGGTGGAGCAGCCAGATCAGCTCTCACGGAAATTCAACTGGGCCTAAGACGTCAAGGGGTGGTGGCAGGAGCCCTCCATGGGAGATGACCCCCAGGGAAGGTGTCTTTCCTTTGAGGGGCATGCGGCGCCAGAGTGGGACTGTTTCTTGTCTTCTTTTGGTCCCTGACATGGTCTCACCTGGAGTGGAAGGGACTGGGGGGACCTGGAGATGGGTGAGGACAGAGCTCCTGGCCCCTCAGGTGCTGCCTTCACCGCCCACCACCTGAAGGAGGTGCTGAATATCTCCCGTGGCCCGCAGCAGCGAAGGCACGCTGACGGGCAGGTGAGCGGGACGATACAGTGACTCCAGGGCTTCCCAGCCTGGCGAGGCGAGCGAGCTCGTGTGGGTAGAGGGCAGAGCCAGATGCCACTTCTTGCCATAATGGATGCTCTTCCAGTTCCTTTGATTTTTGTTTTCTATTAAATGCTCGTTTTGTTTGGTTTAGTTTGTTTTGCATCTGTGAGGGTGAGCCTGGAGGAGGGCGGGGCTGGTCCGGCTCTGGGGGGGCGGAGGATTTGGATTTGGAGTAAAGGGAGCCTACCCAAGGATGCGGAATGATGGGGATTCCAGAGGTGGAGTTCCCTCCAGCCCTGCCTAGCCTGTGAAGCCACAGCAAGCCTGGGGGGTGGGGGCAGGAGGGAAGGGGTGTGTCAGACTGATCCCCTGGCAATGACCCTGGCCATCACCCCTCCCTCAATCTGCCCCAGACAGCCCCCAGCAGAGACAAAGCACAGGTATTTCCAAGGTCTGGGCTCAAGACCAGGCCACCCTTTCGAGAGCAGAGGACTCCCCCCCCACAGGAGGCCTCAGCCTGGCTCCCAGCAGCTGGGATTTGGGCTGCAACAGGCTCAGGCAGAATGCAGGGATGGGGACAGGGGAGTGGCAGCAGCCCAGGGAAGCCAGGCGGAGGCGGGGGTGTTAATTACAGTACAACTTTATTAATACTGGAATCTTCACAGTGCATTTGTTACTTGTAGCAGTGACTATTTAAATCGGGCAGGATGGAGTGGAGGGGGTGGGGAGGAGAGGATAATTTATCCAAAAACTGACAGAAAGAAAAGAAACAAAATGGTTTAGATGGGATGGAGGGGGTGGGGGTGGGGGAGGAGAAAGGGTGAGTAGGAACCAGGAGGGGAGGCCTGGGGTGGGAAAATAAATTAAAAAAAAGGACCAAGTTAACAACAGCACCAGAAAAGTTACTTCAGTCAAAAGACGCTTTTGAAAAGAATATTTCTCTGTACAAAATGAAAAATAAAACGAACATAAAGACGTCCCCCAAAGTTTGTGATGCAGGATGGTTGGCTCGGATCCCGAGGTGGGTGGGCCTACGAGGTGGTCACTAAGTCGACAAGAGGGCAGTGGGAGCGGTCACAGGGACAAACGAGGGGACAGAGTATGTACAGCCCTGGGGGGTTAGGGGGGAGGAGGAAGGTGGAGTGGGGGCTGTGCCACACCCATTTCCTCGCTGGGCAGCCCCTGACTCCCCGTCAGGACTCTTGAAGCCCAGGGTGACGACCATCCCCAGGAGCTGGCCCCCAGGGAGGGGGCGAGCTCTTCCTCACAGGGGCCTCCAGGAGCCAGCCACCCCCTTCCGTGCTTGCCCTCCCTACTGCCATCCACACGATTCCCATCACACATCACGAATCCTACGCCATCCGCCCACCTAGGCAAAACCCTGGCACAGCCCTGGGGAGAAAGTGCCGCAGAAATCCCACCCCAGGGCTCCCCAAACTGGTCACCTGCTCTCCTGTACCCCAAACCTGGGGCTCCCATGTCGGCCTGAGCTTGGTGGGCTGAGTGCTCAGCAAAGTAGTTCTTGGACCTGATGACTTATAAGACCATGCCCCACCAGCTCTGTCCTTGCTGGGGCGGGCTTGGTGCCCCAGACCCACCTGGCCGTCCTACTGGGATCCCAGCTCACTGCACAAGAACTCCCAAGAAGCTCGTTCCCCAAAGGATCAGACGCAACTCCACTCCACCAAGACCAAGGCCAGCCTGCTCGCCCGACCCCAGGGAGGCCCCTGCCCTGTGGCCCACAATGCCTCCCTGAGACCTGTTGCTTTCTCTGCTGACCTGCGGAACCACCAGGAACCCCTTCGCTCGCCCCCTAGGCTCACGTGCTTTCACCTGCTGAGACTTGGCATGACTCGGTGCGTGGGGTGGGAGGGCATTTCCACCCCTCCCTCCCCACCCCGCTGCCAGTGGAGGGGACCGGCCTGGGATGGCATCTCCTCTGGCAACAGAGAGTCAAAGCCAACCTTCCCAGAACCACTCTCCCGCCCCGGGTCCGCATCCTGCTCAGACCACAGCAGACAGGCTGGAGGCCCCTTCCAGCCTTACTTTGGCTACACTCACGATGCTGGAGAGAATAACAGCTTCCCCTGGCTTTAGGGGAGCCAATTCCACCCTTCTCCTCCTGCCTTGGATCCGCCAGGCCACTGTGGGGCCCCCGTCTCCCAGGTACCCCCAGGCACACCCTGTATCACCTTGCCCCCACACACAGTCCTCGTCCAGAGTCAGCTTCATTTTATTATATTCATAAAATAACCCCCACACCCTCTACCACTCCAGCCTCCAACCTCAAAGGTGGCTGCAACTGTGACCCCAAAGTGCCACCAGAGTTAAAGTATTGATGTGCCCAGATGAGAAGTGGACATCTGAAAACAGCGCCTTTGTGGCTGGCCAGAGAACCCCTGGAGCCTCTGGACCCCTTACCCTGCTGCCCCTAGTTTCTGAGCAGATGCTGTGCCCCCAGCCCAGCCAGCCTCACAGGGAAGGGGAGGCAAGGATGTGGGAGCTGCCCCAGGGCCCCTGAGCCTCCAAGCAGGCCCCCTGCAATTCCTCCCTGAGACTCGATGTGGGCCCCTAGACTCCCTTACCCCACAGGTGGGGCCTGTCCCTGTAACTTCAACCTGCTCCCCCAGCTCCCAATCAGATACCTTGGCTGATGGGGTACCTGTCCCCTCCACAGCCTCCCTGCCTCCCAGAAGGAGAGAGTCTGGGAGAATCTGGGGAAGGAGAGAGGCTCAGTCAGGGGAAAGGAGGGGCCAGCACTGCAGGAGGAGACGGGGCAGCACCAGCCCCGGGAGAGGCCAGGCCAGGTGGCCCAGATGCAGATTCCAGGCCAAGCGGGGCCGGGGTGGTGAGGGGGAGGCCGACCTGACCCCTCTGTCGTGGGTAGAGGCTGTGGCTCTGGCACTCCCTGGGGAATGGAAGAGGCAGGGCCTGCAAGGAGGAAGAGGAGGGACAGAAAAGTATAAAACAGGCTCCAAAACCAGGTCAAGGCCTGCAGGCTCTGTCCTGGCAAGGCTTGAAGTCACTTCCTGTTTAAACGCTGGAGTCCAAGCTGGGTGTCTCTCTCTGTAAAGTGGCTTTGCCTCTTCCCTGGCTCTGTCCTCTCTCCTGGCTGTGCCTTTGCTCTGCGTGGCCACTGCTCACAGACCAGGCCTCCTGCTCGCACCGGAGCCAGAGAGGTGGGGAGGGTGGCGCCATCATAAGATGCGGGGCGCCGACCTGTCGTTGGTGACGGTCCTGCGGAGCCGGACCCCACGCCGGATGGCCACCAGCATGTCTTCAGCCGGGGGGTCGCTGGTGGCAGCCGGGGGCGGGATGGGTGTTTCCTCTGTGGGGGTGGTCGACAGGGCAGTGGGGAAGGGGAACTGGCCCTCGCCCAGGGCATGGGCGCCCGCCACCAGCTCCCCCAGCTTCTCCACCAGGCTGTGCCGGTTGGCAGCCAACTGCTGCTGCTGCTCCTCCTCGTCCTCAGCTGCCAGTCTGGTCCCCACCCCGGGGTAGCCAGCTGCCTCTGGGGATGGACTGCCCCAGGCTGTGTTGGGCAGGCTGAGCCTCTTTGGGGATGCCTTGGCAAGGTCCGGTGCCAGGGGTGAGGCGGCCTCTTCAGTGTAGAACACGCATTCCTCGCTGCCTGCCCGTGTGGGCCCCATGTAGCCGGGTGAGTCCGGCACCGTGGGTGTCTTCACAGGGACGATGGGTGGCCGGATGGGGATGGGGCCGGCGCTGGACAGGGCCCGGCGCACAGTGGGCTTGGTGGAGGGTGTGCGGCGGATGGTGGCCACGCCAGGGGGTGCACCCGAGGGCAGGCCAGTGGCTGTGGGCAGCCCCGCGGTGGGCAGCCCGGCGGTGGAGGCTGGGCGCTTGGTCTGGATCAGGCGGCGATAGTTCTGGGCGATGTTGCTGTTGCGCGGGATAGTGGATGACTTGTCGAACTCCGGTGGGCCCTCGCTGTCTGCGTCCCCATTCACGGAGTAGCAGTCATAGTCGGAGCCTGGGGATGCAGGATGCAGTGAGCCCAGGGGGCCGGGTGTCTCCGCACCCCCATCCACCCAGGGTGAGCACAGACAGGGTGGGACAGGGCCCTCTGGTGCACTGCATCCCAGCCATCCCGCCCAATCTGCCCTCCGGGCCCACCTTGGGAAGGGATGGTGTCCTCGGAGCACGAGGGTGTGGTGGTCTGCGTGCTGTAGCCGCTTGAGTACTGCAGTGAGTCCCGGCTGCTCTTCTGGTGCTCAAGGCTCAGGCCACGGGTCAGTACCATGGCCAGGTCACTGGCCGCAGGGGACACTTCCTCACCGTGCTGGGGGATGGCAAAGTGCAGGCTGAAGCCTTGCTCCCCGAAGCCACCTCTATACAGACTCCTGGCAGCCCCAAAGCCACTTGCTGGGAGCCGGCCTTGAAGTCACTTGCGGGGCCTCCTGGCACTCACCTGGGATTAAAGGCGGGACCCTGGCCAGGCTACCCGGGGAGCTGCCCACCTACCTTGGCTGCGATGGTGGCAGGGGACATCCGGGGTCGCGGTGCCTCCTCGCCACTGGGGCCCAGGGTGCCCCCGCTGGTGGGGCCTGGCTCTGTATCTCGGAGGAGCTCTACTCGGTCCTTCCTCCGCTGCAGCGTGGTGCCCACGGGCTGCTCGTGGGGGCCAGCCTTGGACCAGTCCTGCAGAGTGTGGAAGGCAGGTCAGAGGGACCCTTGGTCCTGCAGCCCATGGCTTTGGGCTGCAGTCTCTCATTGTGGCTGAGGCTGAGGGTATCCAGAACCGTGGGGGGCCTCCGGGCCATAGTCATGGCCAAAGTCAGAGCATGGAGTATGGCTATGACCCCTCAGTCCCACCAGGCCTGGGGGCAAGATGGGGAGTCCCAGAAGGAAAGATGTGGCTGTGTGAGGAGTGACTGCAGGTGGTGCCCAGGCAGCCTGTCTCTGGGGAGTCAGGCACTATATGCACACACCCTTCTGGTTGAACATGGGCCCTTCCTGTAGCGAGGGCACCAGGTCGGGAGGGCATGGGGTAAGCTGTTGGTGATGGTCCTGGGGTTGGGCTGGGAGCACTGACCGAGGTGGGAGAGCTGCACTCGCTAACAGACTGGCAGGTTTCCGAGGCCTCGGAGGATGCGGAGCTGGAGGACTTCTGCTATGCAGAGGTGAGCGCGGTGGTACAGACAGCCAGGGGCCGGTAGGCAGCAGGGAGGAGAGGAGACAACAGTTCTGGTCATAGCCCCTGCATGTGAGTTAGTGCCTTGCCCTGTGTCCCCCCAGAGCCACAGCTGTCGAATGCCTGCAGCAGAACTTGGCAGCCCAGCACGTACACTGTGGGCACTGACCCACCCAGCCCAGGAACCACACATTTTGAGGGTTGCCCACTGGGCTTGCTGCTGATGGCCTGGGTGTGGAGGATGAGGGAGAGAGAGATACTGAGGGTGGCAGCTGGGTGTTTGGTTTGAGCAGATGGGCTGATGGGGGAAAGAATGAAGCCTGGAGTGCCATCCTGCACGTGCCAAGCTGAGCTGCCCATTAAGTCTCTAGCATGGATGCCACGTGGACAGCTATCGTCACAAGCTCAGGGAGAAGGTGGGTTGGAGGCAGACTTAGGGCCGGACAAGGCTGCCCAGGCAGCGAGTGTCGTGAGAGACAAGGTTAAAAGGCCAGGCCCACAGCAGGCTAATGCTCAGTGCTTGGGAGGAAGAGGAGGGTCCTGCAAAACAGAGTGACGGGGAGTCACGAGGGAAGTGAGAGGAGAACCATGAGCAGGTGGTGCCCTGGAAATCAGGAGGAGAGCCTGCCCCGAGAGGGGGGTTCAGCTGTGCTGATGCCGAGGCCCATCCGCTGGGGAGACCCTGAGGAGAACCGTTTCAGTAGAGAGAGGTGACAGGCGTCCATTTAAGAGTGGACTGAAAGGGAGACCTCTGCTCTGGGCGGTGGGGTGGACTAGGTGCCCTGGGAGGGCTCCGCCACTCCAAGTACAAAGAATGAGAAAAAAAGCAGGGTAGACACAGGACTGTGACCTCCTGAGTATGTGTGCCAGGCAGGGCTCCCCAGGGTAGATGCTGACTTCGGTGCAGCAGCTGGGAGATGGAGGACAGTGAGGTGCTTGCCTGTGAGGAGCTAAGTTAAGCCAGGGGGCTGCCAGGGGATGAAGGCACCTCTCCCACCAGCTCCTGTCCAGTTCTCTAGATCATTCTTGATTTACATCCCGATTTCCTACAAAGGATAATGAACCAAGACCACCAGGATTCAGAGGAAAGAATGTTTGGTAATATAATAGTTAAATTAAAACCTCAATGGAAAACTCAATGGAAAAGTTCAACATTCGTTCATGAAAAAAAAAAGACACAAATTAAGAATAGAATGGAGTTTAATCTGGTAAAGAATATCTACAAAAATATTGGTACTTTTCCCTCTGAGGTTGGGACAAAGACAAAGATGCCCACTGCCATCACTTCTACTCAGCACTGGAAGTCTTAACCAGTGAAATAAAGCAAGAAAAGGAAGTAAGAGTAAAAGAATTGGAAAAAGAAAAAAGATTACTATTTGCAAGTGACATGATAGTATATGCAAAATATTCAAAATAATCTATAAATTATCAGAGTTAATAAGTGATTTTAACAAGGTTACTGGATACAAAGTCAGAAAAAAAATCAATTGTATTTCTAACTACCAGCAGCTAACAGGAAGAAATAAACCCTAAAAAGCCAATGTAATTTACAATAGCACCAAGAAACATCAAATACCCTGGAGAAAAAAATTCAATGATAGATGTACAAGACCTTGACACTAAAATCACAAAACATTAATGAGAGAAAGGAAAACCTAAATAAATGGAGAGACATCTGCAATACCAGTCAAAATCCCAGGAGATTTTTGTTCTTTTCTTAGTGGAAACTGACAAGCTTGTCTTAAAATTTATACAGAAATACAAAGGGCCAAAAATAGACAAAGTGATATTGAAGAACACAGCTGACAGACTTTCATGACCAGATATCAAGATTGTCTATAAAGTTAAAAGTTACAATAAATAAGATGGTGTGGTATTGGCATGAGGACAAATCAACCCAGTGGAACAGAATACCAAGTGTGGAAACAGCCATACACCTCCAGACACCTGACTGATGAGAAAAGCAACAACTGCAGTGCAGTGGGAAAAAGACGGTGCTATGATGTAAATGTCTGTGTCCTCCCAAAACTCACACTTTGAAATCCTAATCCCCAAGATAAGGTATTGAGAGGTGATGAGGTCATGAGGGTGGCACCCTCAGGAATGAGCTTAGGGTTTTTATAAAAGAGGCCTGAGGGAGCTAGTTTGCCCCATCTGCCATGTGAGGACATAGCAAGAAGGTACCATCTATGAACCAAGAAGTGGGCCCTCACCAGACTCTGAATCTGTGGTGCCTGGATCCTGGACTTCCCAGTCTCCAGGACTGTCAGAAATTACTTCTGTTGTTGATGAGCATCCCAGTTTATGGTATTTTGTTATTGCAGCCTGAATGGGTTAAGACAGATAGATGGTCTTGCTAATAAACTGTCCTGGGTCCATTTGATATCCATATAGAAAAAAGGACGCCTACCTCACATCACACACACACACACACACACACACACACACACACACACACACACGATCTATTCAGAGATGAGCTGCAGATCATTTAGAGTATGCGAAAATGCCTCAAGCAGGACGCAAAAAACACTAACAATTTAAAAAATGAATAAATCAAACTATATTAAAACTAAGAACGTCTGGTCACTAAAGAAACCCCACGAGGAGAGTACAAAGGTACCCACAGAATGAGAAGATATCTGATGAAGGATTTGTATCTATAATATACAAAGAGTTCTATAAATCCTTAAGAATATCAGACAACTTAGTAGAAAAATGGGCAAAAGATTTGAACAGGGTTGCCTGAGCCTGCGAGTTTGAGACCCACCCGGGCAACTTGGAGAGACCTCATCTCTACAATAAATCAAAAAATTAGCAGCACACGCTTGTAGCTCCAGTTACTTGGAAGGCTGAGGTGGAAGGATCGCTGGAACCCAGCAGGTCAAGGCGGCAGTGGCCGGGAGCGTGCCACTGCACTCCAGTCTGGGCAACGGAGTGAGACTCCAACTCAAAAAAAAAAAAAAAAAAAAAAAAAGATTTGAACAGGGGACATTGTTGTGTTAAGCACTGACCAGACCATGTGTTCTTTAAGCTACGGCCAGGCCATGTTTTCCTAAGCTTTGGTCCCCTCCCCTACCTTGGGGAGGTAAATCTCCTTCCTTTTTCTAATTTACTTTCTAAATAAACTATATTTTCCAATCTAAAAAAAAAAAAAAAAAGAGGATTTGAACAGGTCCTTCACAGAAGAAGATGTCCAAAGGCCAAGTAGAAAGGGTAGCCAGGTGGGGTGGTCATGCCTATAATCTTGGCTACTTGGGTGGCTGAGGTGGGAGGATTGCTTGATCCAGGAGCTTGTGTCCAGCATGGGCAACAGAGTGAGACTCCATTTTGTAAAAAACAAGCACGAAAAGGTATTCAACCTTATCATTAGGGAAATGCAAATCAAAAATACAGAACATTACTACTACTTTGCACCCACAAGCATGGCTAAAATTTAAAAGATGTAAAACACCAAGGGCTGGTGAGGAGGTGGAAGGGCAATTAACGTCATAATCCTGCCAGTGGAAAGGTACATTGGTATGACCACTTTGGAAAACTGGTAGTTCCTAACAAAGCTGAACATACACGTATTGAGTCAACTCAGCAATTCTACTCCTAGGTATGTAGTCCCACAGGGTGCATACTAGAATGTTCACAGCAGCATTATTAGTGGCACCAAACGTAAAAAACTGGAAACTATCCAAACGTCCATGAAAATGGTTAAGTAAATTGTATATTTACACATCGAAATGCTGTGTACAAGGATGTCTATCACCACAGAAAATATGGGTGAATCTCATAAACACAATGCTGAGTAAAAGAAGCCAGATATAAATGATATACTATATGATTCCATACATATATGTATATATGAAGAATAAAACAGACAAAATTAATCTATTCAGGAGAGTGGTTACCCTTAGGGGGAGTGTGGTGTGACTTGAGAGAGCATGAGAAGCTTCCTGGGTGACAGCCATGCTGTTTCTTACTCTTGATATTGGTTAAGTGGGTGGGTTCAGTTCATGCAGATTTATAGAGCTGTACACTTATGAGATGTTTATGTCTCTGCTTGTAAAGAATACTTCAATAAAAAGTTCTTGAGAGATTCAATGGTAATGGGTTATAACCCATAGAATAAGAGAAATAGTTACGAGTCCATATTGATATAAATAAATAACTGAATATATAAAAAAAGGTGGAGAAGGAACAAATCTTTTACAGTACAGTTGCAATTAGTAAATGTAGGAGGTCAGCTGGGTGTGGTGGCTCATGCCTGCAATCCTAGGACTTTTGGAGGCTGAGGCGAGAGAATTGCTTGAGCCCAGGTGTTTGAGACCAGCCTGGGCAACATAGTGAGACCCTGTCTCTACAAAAAATTAAACAATACAAAAATCAGCTGGGATTGGTAGTGCATGCCTATAATCCCAGCCACTCAGGAGGCTGAGGCAGAAGGATTGCCTGACTCTAGGAGTTCAAGAGCAACCTGGGCAACATAGTGAGACCTCGTCTCTACAAAAATAAAAAAATTAGCCAGGTGTGCGCCTGTTGTCTCAGCTACTCAGGAGACTGAGGTGGAAGGATCATCTGAACTCAGGAGGTCAATGCTGTGGTGAGCTGTGATCGTGCCACCACACTCCAGCTTGGGTGACAGAATGAGACCTCGACTCAAAAAAACAAAAATAAAAATAAAATAAATAAATAAATGTAGGAGGAATGATGGAAATAGAAAATCACTACTGTAACAGGCAAGAATTATCAATAGATGCTAAAATTAGTGAGTGAAAATATAAATATTTATGTAGTCTCAAAACGATCCCTCCACAAGATATTTTATTAATTATAAAGGGGAAAATATGACTCTACCATGGGGAAACTTGGCAAATGCCACCTCAACCAAGGATCAAGGTGAATATCATCAATCATAAGGTATCATCAACTGACATCATGCAGCTGATACAATGCACCAAGACAGGTACACTTCTGTGGTACTCTTGCCAAAACTCAATAGTAATGGCTTATAACCTATAAAATAAGAGAAATAGTTATGAGTCCATATTGATATAAATAAATAATTGAATATATTGAAAAATGGTGGAGAAGGAATACCATTCTCATTCTAAATGGGGAAACATCGGACAAACCCACACTGAGAGACATCCTACAAAATGTCTGATCATTATTCTTCAAAAGCATCAAAGTCATGAAACACAAAGAGGGATGGGACTGAGGGATGGACCCTATCTCTACTGGAAGAGGTTGGAGAATGTATAGGTGATGCAAAAATTAAACACAATGTAGGATCCTGGACTCTTGGACCAGCAGAAGGATAGGAGAAAGACAACTGGCAAAATCTAAAGAAAGTCTGGCAATTACTTAGTAGTACCATACCAGCATTAATTTCCTGCTTTGGAAAATTGCTTGGTGATTTACATAAGATGTCAACATTAGGAGGACCATAGGAAGGGTATATGGAAACTCTACTTTTCTTGTAATTTTTCTATAAGTCTAAAATGATTTCAAAACAAAAAGTTAAAAAAAAAAAGTGAGTAGATTAAATAGCAAAAAGGAGAAAAAAATAGATTGGAAGACAGACCTGAAGAAATCATACAGAATGCATATGGAGAAACAAGGAGATAGAAAATATGAGCTAAGAGAAGCAGAAAGACAGAATGAGAAGGTCTGCCATACCTTCAGTTGGAATCCCAGTGGGAGAGGATAGAATGAAAGTCAAGAGATAATGGTTGAAAATTTCCAGAACAAATGAAAGGCAAACACAAACCAAGAAAGGTTAAATTAAAAACAAATCCACATTGTTGAATGCAGTAACAAAACCAAAGAGGCAGCTTTACCTGGGACACAAAAAGCACTAACAATTTTTAAAATGGATAAATTAGACTATACTAAAACTAAGAAGGTCGGGTGTGGGCATGGTAGTTCATGGCCATAATCCCAGCGCTTTGGGAGGCTAAGGCAGGAGGATCACTTGAGACCAGGAGTTCAAGATCAGCTTGGGCAACACAGCAAGATCCCATTTCTACAAAAAAATTAAAAAATATTAGCCAGGCACGGAGGTATGTGCCTGCAGTCCCAACTATTTGGAGTTCAAGGCTGCAGTGAGCTATGATGGCACCATTATACTTCAGCCTTGTGACAGAGCAAGACCCTGGCTCTAAAAAAAGAAAAAAGAAAAAGGAAAAAAAAAAAAGAAGAGAGAGAGAGAGAAAGAATGCTTAAAGTGGTCAGAGAGAGGTGTTAAATTCATCACAAAGAAGCAATAGTGTGATGACAGCAGACCTTTCAACTAGCAACGGAAATCAGAACACAGTGGAAAAGTATCTTCAAAGTGTGGAGAGAAAATAACTGTCACTCCAGAATTGTATCCCTGGCAAAAACTAACTTTCAAGAAAGAGTAAAAAATAAAGCATGCTTAGAGATAAACAAAAACTGAAAGCTTACTATTACAGACCTATGCTAAAAGACCTAAAAAACATTTTTTTTTTTTTGAGTTGGAGTCTCACTCTGTCTGTCTCACTCTGTCTGGAGTGCAGTGGCTGCTCCTGACTGGAGTGCAGTGGCTGCTCCTGGCCACCGCAGCCTCGACCTGCTGGGCTCTGGCGATCCTTCCGCCTCAGCGTTCCAAGTAGCTGGAACTACAGGTGTGCGCTACCATGCCCGGCTAATTTTTTTGATTTTTATTGTAGAGATGAGGTCTCACCAAGTTGTCCAGGCGGGTCTCGAACCCGCGGGCTCAGGCAATCCACTCACCTCAGCCTCCCAAGGCACGGGATTACAGGCTGAGCCACTGAGCCTGGCTCTAAAAAACATTCTTTACATCAGAAAGAGGGAAAATGACCTTAGAAGATGAGATGCAGGAAAACATCATGAACAAAGAAATATGCAAACATATGTAAACAAACACTGTATGTATAAAATAATGATGAAATTAAGAAAAAATGTCATTTGTAGGTACTACAAAAAAAGGAGAGAATAACATAACAGTTTATAAATAGAGAGGTAGTGGGTGGCTAAGTTAAAAGGGCCTTGAATTATTCAGGAGGTAGAATTATGACTTTGCTAAGTATGCATGGTACAATTTCAAAGTAACCTATAAAAGCAAACAGATAGAGTATAACTTATAATCCAGCAGAGGGGAAATGTGAGAAAAGGAAAAACAAAAGGCAAGGGAAGAGACAATAGCGCAGAAAAAACAGAAAAGAAAAAAGGCAGAAGTCCAAACACATCAGTAACCATAATAAATATAAATGGACTAAAAATGCTAATTAAACAATGCTAATTAAACAAAGATTGCCAGATTGGATAAAAAAAGAAAATCCAGGCATATGCTGTGTATATATATGAGACTTATCTCAAACATAAAGATATAGTGAGTTTAAAAGCAAAGAGACAAAAAAAGGATGACATAAATACTGAACAGAATAAAAACCCGGGGGACCTCCAGGCCAGTCTCAGCAGCTGTAGAGGCCCCACATGAGGATAACCCGAGGCTGGCACGAGGCCACTGCGCTCCACCCTGAGTGGTTCCCCTAAAGCCCTCTCACCTGGCTGGTGATGTCTGAAGGCATGGGCGAGGGGGGCTTGGAGTAGGTGGCATCCTGGGAGACGAAGCCAGAGTCGTGGGAGGAGACGCTGGAAAGGCGGGCGGTGGCGGTGGCTGGCTGCGCCAGGCTGCGGTAGCGACAGGTGGAACTGGGTGAGTATGTTTGGGCACCCCCAGGCCATGGGGCTCCGCCACCCTTGGCACTGCTACTGCTGCTGGGGGCACTAGGGGGTGAAGGAGGAGGGCACAGCAGCCAGACAGGGAGACACAGAGGTGTGCGTTTAGGAGAGGGTGACAGACGAAGGTTGAGGCGGGGAGAGGTGAGGGGCAAAGGAAGGAAAAGACAATGTCAGACTAGGAGGTCCTGAGACGCAGGCACTACAGAGGAGCTGTGTTCTGGAAGGCAGGGCCAGGGCAGGGGCCCCCAGGGCTGAGGGAAGCCATGGTCAGGGCATGTCCAGGGTGAGCAATCTCAGCTCCTACTCTGCCATTAAGAACAGTTGTCCTTAGGTTATCAGTGGGGGAAAGTGAGTCTCCAGGAACCAATAATTAGAACCAGACACAAGTCTGACAAACTCTCAAAGTCTGATATTTGTCATCCAGTCCTAACTGGATGTCTAATATGGCAATGGTCCGTCTGGGCATGGAGGTCACCTTCCAGGTGGGTCCTAGACCGACCATCACCCTCACCCCCTCAAGGGTATCCAATCCTCTGTGGCTCACACCCTTGGTACAACCCTTTCACACTTGAGCAGGATTCCTGGCAATGAAGGTGGCCTTCCTCCTGAGCTGACTCTTGTGGCTCCCAGCCTCTGCCCTTGCTGAAAGTCTCCCCTGCAATGGACCCTCCCTGGTGTGACGGTCACCTGCCCAGGGTCTGAAGAGCCTCTGTGGCCCTAGGCCCTCCTCTCTGTGAGATAGCAGCTTATTGCTGTGCTTGGCTACTCCTAAGCCCTGGGTGTCCACTCAGAGTTGATTTTGAGGAGAGAGGGGTGCCGGGGACGAGGGCCCCCCTCCACCGTTTCCTTGTTCTGTGCTCACTGCCTTCACCACCCAAAGAACTTTGAATCACAAACATCCCTCCAAACTGGACCCTGATGGCTGAGCCTGCCTGGTGACTGAGTGAGATCCTCGGCCTCTCCCCAGCTCTCTGAGACTCTGGGGCCAACCTGGGCCCAGGTTTGAACCTGTGGCAGCTGCCTGGGAACCAGCAATCAGGAACCAGTCAGGCTGGAGTGTCCTGCACCTGTGGCCTTAGGACATGTTCCCAGAAGCCTCCCTACCCTTCCTCGATCTTAGATTCTTACTATTACCCTACATTGTGCTGGGCCTGGCAGAATCCAGTGGTTAAATGCTGGGACACTGCCTGAGTTTCCCCTTCTGTGAAGTGGAGACGATATCGTACCTAATACGGAGGTGTTAGGATTCAATGAAGAAAATCCACAAAACACCTAGCATGGCACCTGGCACACAGTTAACACTCCATCTCCATAAATGAAGCTGCCACGGCACCCTCCCCATCCTTCTGCCAATAAATGCCTGCATCAGCAGCAGTCTTGGGATGACAGGGCACATTTTCCCTCCCTATCTGCAAATTCCTTGGATGATGTAAGAGGCGTGTGAATTGCCCTGAAGGAATTATTGATGCAGGTTAGCTGAGAGCTTCCCCATTCCCTCTCGGGATACTGCCTCCCCCTCTACCACCATGAACCCCACCCCCACTGACCTGCACATGCTGGACTTCCTGGAGCTGGAGCTGCTGGGTGATGAGGGTGGGGTCTGGTAGGACCAGCTGTAGTCTGAGCCCTTCAGGTCTTTGATCACCTGGACAGGGACATGGATGGGGGGTCACTGGAGGCAGCCCCGGAGAGCTAGTAGGGACAGAGACCCCCACTCCTCTACCCAGTTGTGAACTATACCCCAGAAGACCCTAGGAATCTAAATCCCCCTTCCCCAGCCTTCTCATAATGTAGGGGGCAAGGACACACCTGGGGACACTCAGCCTTCTGTGAAATCCTTCAGCTTACACACACTGAGTACAGATTCTGAGCCCAGCCCAGGCCAGGCACATCCAAGGGTGCACTGTTGCTGGCAGAGGAGCCAGGTGAGAGTGATCCCCCTGACACCATGGAGTTCAGATAGTTACTGGGTTTCTCTGAGTCTGTTTTCTCCTGCAAATCAGAGCCAGTTGTTCTAGTCTGAGAGCACTGCTGGGAGGATTCCATGAGAAAACCCGTGGAAAAGTGCTCAGCAGATGCTGGGCATACAGCAAGTGCCTAAGGAGTGTCACGACATGTGGACTGTAAGGTAGGACCCGTCCAAGTGCATGAGTGGGATGAGGTGGGCAGGTATGCCTGGGTCTAGGGGAGGTGACGAGGTTTCTGGGCGAGAATGGTGGCTAGGCATCTCCAGGTCTGGAAGGGGGCTTGCCCAGGTAGAGCCCGGTGGGCAGACTCTGGGCCCAGCCCATCGATCTGGGACTCTGCCATCTGCTCTCAGTCTGAGACCTCCGCTGGGCCTGCACCTACCACCCCTCACCTGGGCAGGAGCTCCCGGGACAGCCCACAGAGGGTGTTGGGCAGTGTCTGGTCTTGTACCCCCAGCTGACTCCCCTAAATGCTGTCCCGCTTTTTCTTCCTCTGTTCTCAACCAAGGGCAGCCCATCTCCTCCCTGCCCCTGGCCCTTGGCCTGAGGGCCAGCCGCACCTGCTCGCTGGCGGGAGGCAGCTTGTGGGGTTCTGCAGTCAGCACCACCAGGTCGTCGATGATGCCCTGCAGGTGGGTGATCTCTCCCAGCATGGTCAGCTCTCCGTTCTGAGGAAGCAGCGAGTCAGACCTGCCGGCCCTGCTGCCCGCCTGCCCACCCACTCTGGAGAAAAAGGCCTCGTCAGGCCTCTCTCCTCCTGCTCTTCCTCGATGACCAATGTTGTTTGGGGCTGGCGCAGGCAGAGCTGGCACAGCCTGGGCAGCTGGCGAAGCCATCTGTCCAGGCCACATCAGTGCTTGACTGCACTACAAGGCCTGTCTTTGGGCCAGAGGCATGCGGCCTTGTTGCCCAGCCAGGAATCACTGAGAAGTGGCCTTTCGTGGAGGTCAAGAGGCCAGCCTTGGGCCCAGCCCGACCCACTGGGGCCTCCGAGTCACCAAGACTCACCACCACGGGCTGCAGGAAGGTGATGAAGGTGCAGAAGCGGCCTCGCTCCTCAATCAGTGCCCGGCGCACCGCCTGCTTCTCCGTCTCCTCCAGCAGTAGGTACATGTCGTTGACGTCCTGCAGGGCGCTGTCCAGCTGGGGCTGCAGGTCTCCTTTCCCTGGAGGGTATGGGAGGAGAGGCCGTGCTGGGGACGCCGGCCCAGCTCGCTGTGCCCATGGCTTAGGCCCCCGTGGTGGCGTCCCCGGCCGTGGGGCTGGGTGTTGCTCTGGGGCCAGGAGACTGGGAAGGACGGTCAGGACTCTGGGGCTTGTGGAAGGGCTGGTCCCACCAGAGCAGGCAGAGAGGACAGACAGACACACATGTACAGCAGAGACGCCAAAGCTGCAAAGTCACCTAGGACTTGGGGTTGGCCGAGCCCTGGGCAGCCCCAGGAAGGCTCTTAGAGCCCAGGATCACGGAGGTCTCCACCCCCAGGATACCCTCACCGCCTGTGGGATGGTGCTCCCTCACCTCACAGGGTTCAGGGAGGTGGGGAGGAAGCAGGACAAAGCAGAGTGTACGGCTCAGCTGTAGGCCAGGCCGCTGAGGGCGGGGGTCAGGAGAGCTAGGGGTCTGGGCCTTGGGGGCAGGGAAGGGGTATTTCAGTTAGGGAGCAATGCACAAGGACAGCAACAGTGACACAAAGAAGCAGCGAGAAAGACAGAGAGAGGTGAGCGGATGATGCAGCAGAGATGATGAGATGGCAAGTGAGGAGGTGACAGGTAAGGACACAAGGCCAGCCTGGTGGAGGGGGTGGGGCAGCCAGGGCCTGTGCCCCCCACCCCGCCCAGGCCATACCCTCCTGGCCTGGCAGACTGACCCAGCAGTGGCCCTGGACTCATCCCTGGCCAGGGGCCCCGTGGGCCCCAGGGGCACTGTGCCCCAGGCCCCTCCCTCGGTGGACCGACCGCCTTCCTCGAGCTTCTTTGGCCTGGAGAGGTTCCTTCCAATGACCCTGAGCTGGGGGAGACAGACAAATGCAACACGGACGGGAGGAGCAGCTGGAGGGACGGACATTTGACTTACCAAGTAGCTCTACAGGAAGGATGTGGGAGGAGGAGGAGGAGAGACAGAGAAAGAAAGAATGTGTGAAAGACAGCCGGATGGACAGAGCCACTCCTGGGGGTGGGGAGGTGCCTGGGCCTCCTGCTGCCTGCCTCCCTGAGGGAGGTCCCGGGCCAGGTCTGGGGTGCAGGGCAGCTCCCTCTGTCCCACCCCACAGGTCAGAGGGTCCTGTGTTGGGCCTAGGGCCCCTCTGGCTGGGATGATGCCTTGGGGGTGCCCCGGGGGCTGGTGGGGGCTATGCAGGGGGCCCCCTGTGCGGCTGGGCCTGGGTGGGTGCTCTGGGCCCTACCTTTTCGTGCCTTCTTCTGCAGCTTCAGAGTGTCTGACGACTTCTTCTTGATCTCATGACGGGCTCTCTTGTACTCTGTGTAGGGGGTGAGAGGGGAGCATTATAACGGGGGTCATGCGGAGTGAGGGAGGGGCAGAAAGCCCAGGTGAAGCCCTGCCCCACCTTTAGCGTGGTCCTTGTCCAGCTGGTTGGCGGACTTCTTCCAGTCCTCGATGCGCTCCTGCAGCGGGTTGATGAGGCTCTCCAGCAGCGCACTGCGGGTGGAGCGGGCAGGTCAGCACCATGGGAGCGGGGTCTCCCAGCCCCCTCCGCGAGCGCCCCCTCTGCCCTGCGTCCATCCGCTGGCGCCCACTCACTTGGTGAACTGCCGCAGCTTGGTCTCGATGCTGCGGTGGCGCATGCACATGCGCGTGAGCGCCGAGCCGATGTCCCGCGTGGCCCCTGGCGAGGCAAGCGCGTGGCATGGGAAGGGGCCTGCCGGGGCCTCCGCAGTCCCGGCCGCGGGCCACCAGGGGGCGCCCCGGCCCGCAAAGGCCGAGCCCGCAGCCAGCAGACCGTGCCCCGCCCCCCACGGAGCCGCAATCCGCCGGCCCCTGCGGGGATCGGATCCTTCCTCAATCTCTATCAAGCTCCTCCTCCGTGCCAGGCCATGCCCGCCTCCTGCAGCAGCCTGAGGCCAGCGCCAAAGAATGTCCAGGGAAGAGCAAGCAAAATTCTCTTCCAGTCCTCCCAGGAGGCCCCTGCTGGTGCGCTGATGCAGGCCAAGGCCTGAGGGATGAGGAGCCTCAAGTCTCTGTTACTGTGACCAAAAGGCACCAGCCCAACGGAGCGCTCCTCTGCGCCCTGTATGCTCTCAGAAGGGGACACGGGAATGAGCGGGAAGCCCTAAGGAGGCTCACCATTCCGAAGGGCAAACAACTATGGCTGAGCGGTCAAGAGAGCTGCCCACAGCAAGAAGGGCATCTCTGTGTAATATCCCAGTCACTACTCACCCACTCCTGCTTGTATGCCTCTTGTGACGAGGGACTCACTCTCTCCATAACCAGCCCATTTCATTAAGGAGCAGAACCCAAGGTCCTGACTCTCAGCCTGGTGTTCTCTCCCTAGTCCATACCCTACTCAGCCTTTCCAGCCTCCTTCTACCTTGGGGCATCCCCAACCTCCAGCCACGCCCTTCCCCACCTCGGGTGTTGGTAGCCATGTCAGCCACTTTCTGGAAGGCATCCAAGAAGGCCACAGCAGCCAGCACAGTGGTCCTGAGGAGACGGACAATGGCATGGGTGGTCAGAGAGCAGGGTGTCCTCTCCTCCGCCTGCCTCCTCCCCAGCTGGGCACCCTGAGCAGCCTCACCTCAGCTGGGAATGCAGCTTCGTGGCCTTGGAGTTGAAGTCCTCCCAGATGGGGTAGGAGCTCTGCCAGGGAGATGGGAGAGGAAGTGAGACCCTGTTGGGGCTGCAGGGTACCGCCTGGCTGGCCTCTCCACAGGCTTCAGATTCTGGAAAGTTTCTGAGAGTGCCCCTGCCCCCGTGGAGAGGGAGGCTCTTGGGCCCTCTGGGAGGACAGAGGACCAAGGACAGAGCCACCAGGCATGGGAAGGTCAGTCCCTGGGAACAGGGGCCTTTGCTGGTCCCTTGCTCCCTGACAGCCAGGAAGTCCACCCTCCTGTCTACAGTGGGTGACTGTGTTGGCCCACATCCTCCCTCGGAGGGGACGGAAGCAGTCAGTGGCAGGTCCTGTCTCCTCGGGGCTCCCAGGGACCTGGGAACCGGGGCCCGATAAGGGTCATCATGTTCTCCATCATACACCTGGGATGTGGGCACTAACCTGCCCACCGGCTAGGAGGCAAAGGCACAGTGTGCACGGTGGAGGCTGGCAGGGCTAAAGGCACACTGGGTCTAAACTGGGGCCTCTGGGGACCCCACCCTGCGTCCTGGAAGCTGATGCCGGCAGGCCGGCCACGCCAGGCCAGCGGCAGTGGCTCCTAGGCCCGGGAGGCTGTGGCTGCTGCAGGGCCTGGCCAGCTTGCCTGGGACAACCAGGACCCGGGCTGAATAGGGCCTTGTGCAGCCAACAGAGCCACCTTTCTCCACCCCCTGCTCCCCTCCCCTCCTGGGGAAACAGTGTGGCCTTTATCCCAGCCTGGCCCAAGGCTCCAAGTTGGGAGGGGGTTTCCCAGTAGGGAGGTCGGGCTCCTGGCGACCGAGTTGTCCAGTCTGATTAAGGGGCTCTTCTGGCTAATGCACTCTCCCCACGGTGGCAGGGTCCCTGAGAAACATCAGCCCTGGTCCAAGGGCCCTGTGGAAGCCTCGCTCCTTGAAGGGGAGCCCTGGGCCAGCAAAGTCCCCGCCCGAAGGGGCTTTTGACCCTCCCCTCTAGCTAGGATGGGGCACTGGGGGCTGGGGCTTTTCCTGAGGAAAGGGTAAGGCAGAGACCCCAGCCCCCAAGGCCTTGGAGGGAGGCTCTCCCAGGCTGGAACCCCAGGGGTATTCTCTGAGCTTGCAGAGGCGAAAAGGAGACAGGGCAGCTACGGGAACCTCAGCATCTCCCTCCCCCTCCAGCGCAGCTAAACCAGTGTCCAGGGAGAGTAAATATTTGAGAAGTCCACAGGGGCTGGAGCAAGAAGCGGGAGGCTGAGGGTGGGCAGGCCCCATGCGGGCACAGCACAGGGGAAAGGGGCCTGGGAGGTTGTCCCTAGTAGTTCCAAGGAGCTGACTCATGCCTGGGGCACCTTGGAGGGTCTTCTGACTGGCACATCCTCCCACCACCTAGACAACCCCCCAGCCTTGAAGCCTTGCTAAGTCCTCCCTACAGGGACCAGAAAGATGCTAGGGGCGTGAGGGGTCCAGAGTCAGCTGTCCTGGCTACCAGGAAACCTTGTTATGCCCCTCAGCAGCCCCTGGCAGTCTCAGAGAGTAAGGGCTCTTTCAGTGGGGAGGGTGCCCCACACAGATGAGCCTGGGCACCTTGGTCTCTAAGGACCTGGGATCCCCTTCTCCACAGAAGTTCATAAAAGACTTCAGAGGCAAGGAGGTTGAAGGGCCAGAGAAGCCCCCTGGGGACAGTGTCCTCACCTACACCTGGGCCCATGCCCAGGTAAATCTTGATAGTAGCCCTGTGAGATGAATACTATTATCGCCCCATTTTACAGATGAGCAAAGTGAGAGGTAGGTTGACTTGCCCAAGGTCACAGGGTGGCAGAACCAGGATCTGATCCCATCTGACTGGTCACTCCACATCAGGTAGAGGGGTCCCCTGACGTGCAGGGAGACGAGCCCCTGAGCATCAAGGCTGAGAGGTGGCAGGGCCTGCAAGGATGGGATATGCCCTCAAGCACAGTGGTTGCTCTGGAGGGGACAGGTGAGGGGCTTGTCACTAGAGATGCCAAGCAAGGAAGAGACCACGAGGCTCTCTTTCTGTCTGGGCAGTGGTTGTGGTTCAGACGTGGGGTGTGGGAAACCAACCCGGGCTCCAATTCCAGGGAGTGGCTTTCTGGGTGACCCTGGGTAAGGGTGCCCTCTCTGAGTCTCAGTTTCTTTACCTGTAAAATCAGGAGAGGAACAGCACCTGCCTCACTGGGTCTGTGTGGAAGGCACTCAGCACAGTGCCCGGCACATAGTAACTGCTCAGTTAATGCTGGCTATCAGAGATCACACAAGCCCTGCCATTCTGCCAGGAGCCCCTAGAAGAGGCCTGCCCAGGACCTGTGTGTCCAGGTGACATTCCTCACTCTTGAAGGGGTAGGCAGAGTATGACCCCAATTTCTGGCTGGGCCAGTGCTGGGTGGAGGCCCAACTCACCCTGCTGAAGGTGCTGTGTCCAGGCCTATCATGGTGGCCAAGTCCCTGCCCCTCTCTGGGCTTCAGTGGGCACCTGACCCTGGGGGGTATCTGACCTGGGTTGTGTGAGGCACAGAAGGCAGGGAAAGCTCTCAAGGGCCGCCCTCCCCATCCCTGAGTGGTACCCTCCTCCAGGCTTTCCAGGGACCAAGTGTAGCTTGGGGAGCCCCCTGCCCTGCCACCCTCTGGCCCAAGGTTGAGGCCTCCTAGAGGCCCCAGGAAGGGCTGTCATGGGGCCTGTGGACTTGTGGAGCTGCCTTGCGGGGCAAGCTCCATCTCAGTGCAGCCAGCCGGCTGATGGCCACCTTCCTCTAGAGAAGCCCTGCTACTTCTGTGGCTCAGGCCACCAAGGGAAACAGCCGCCCCCCAAATCTAGGCAGTCAGCCTCCCGGTGGCCCACAGTCCCCTTCTCCGTCCTGGCCAGGAGCCCTGAACACCTGCACGTGTCATAAGTAAGGGCATATCCATCCTGGCATCATCCCAGGTTTTCCCATTTTGTCCCCACGTGTTAGAAAATCCAGCCTGATGTCTAGCTTGAGCCTCTCACTACAATCTGAGCCCATTTCCTTCTGTGTCATCCTAAAGTTCCTTGCAAATTGCCAGAGCCGGGCAGGAGGGAGACAGTCTTGGTCCTGTCTCTGAGCAAAAGCTGCCGCTCTCTGCAGTGGTTGCTGTGAGGCTGCCAGTGGGGGCGAGGGGGTATGGGAAGGCCCCACCCTCGGGCAGCAGTGGGAATGGCTGGGGGAGGGTGGTCTGGGCTGCCCAGTGCCACAAGGGGAATCCTGGGGCCAGGGCTCTGATGTCCACAGGGCAAGTGGAGGCTGCTGAGGGCTGGCAGAGGGGCCTGGAGGCGGGGTTCCAAGGGATATTGGCTCCGGGGGAATACACCATAAGGGGGGACCTACATGATGCTAATAGGGTAGTCCTAGGCCAGGCTGGCTTCAGGCCTCCTGCTGGTGGGGGGAGGGCAAATCTGGCAGCTGCCTCTGGAGCTGTTGTCCAGGCAGCACCAGGAGCCCCGACCTGACCTCTAGCCTGCCTGCACCCCCCACAGTACCCCACCCCGCTTCACAGAGCTTGTCCTGGCACCGAGGGGTGGGTTGCGCTGTGGTGTGTGTGTCCCCCGCCCCCAGCCTGGTGAGCTTTTGTGTTGTGTACCTGGCAAGTATGTGTTGGGCTGTAGGGTGGGGGCCCTTGGGAGTTCCTATAAGGAGCCCGATTCCTGCCCTTACTCCTCCCGGCCTGAAATCATGCTCCTTTATCCTAGGCCAAAGAAGGGGGTAAGAGAAGGAGGGTAGAATGCTGGTTCCTGGCCCCCACCTGACCACTGGGCCCTCTCTGCCCACTCAGCCTGGAGCAGCCCTGCCAAACCCTGGTCTCTTTTGGGGAGTGAATCCCCCTAGTCCCCCCGGGATAAACAATAAGGGCTGAGATCAGGGTCAGGGTACAACAGTCTCCTTAATGACCTTGAACCGTTCCCACACCTCAGTTTCCCCACCTGGGGCCGGGGAGGGGTGAGCCAGGAAGTGGCGGCTTTCTCCAGCCTGACCTTGGGCCATCCTGGGGAGGCGGTGGAGGGAGCCCGGTGGCAATGGGGTAGGAAAAGCACTCCCTGGTGTTGCTCCGCCAACCTCAACCTTCTTGCCGCCTCCTCCCAAGGTGATGATAAAGGCCTATCCTTGGAACGCAGGGACATTCAGCCTGGGGACCTCGGAGTCCTGGAGCTTCCTGGGGGGCGGGGCCGGGGGCGGCAGGGTCGGGTGCAGAGGCCCGGACCAGCGGGGAAGGAGTTAACGGGTCTCCGCTTTATTATTTTTTCTACTTCGGCGGTGA